AACAGAGTGATTTACCCAAGTCCACAGACTTGAAACGCCACACCTGAGACAATTAAGTGATTGCATATCACTTTTCTCAGCTCTGGGTTTAATCACATTTTTTCCGATGCTATTCAAACCAAGTGGCTCTGTCCTGTGGGCTGTGTGTTACCACATTCTTGGCATTTGGACAGCTTGCAGGAACAATGGTCCCAGCTAATAGAAAGCTTGATTCCAAAGCTGACCTCCACACAGTGTGCCAATTTAACAGACAAGAACAAGGACGTAGAAGACTAATAAAAACAAACCAGGAAATATTGATTTCAACCTAGAAGCGTGGTGTTTAATTTAAAAGGCAGCTCGTCAGAAAATCCCTTCTTCCGTTGTCAAACAAGCACTGGAACTTGTCTATTTTCCCATCATTCAGTTAGAACAGGGACGAAGCAGTGACATAGTCTTGGCTTTCGAGCAAACATTAGGGCACAGGGTAGGTGCAGGGTTGAGATTCACTATTTTTTTCAGATTGCCAGCTTTAATTTCTACTGCCTGAAAAAAAGGAGATATCCTTTCTCCTTATACCTTTAGCTGTTTTTCCTCTTTTCTCTCATAAACAAAACAGAGAGGTCTACGTCCAACCCATAGCATAAAATTTAACATCGAGGTAGCTTCCATGGCTGAAGTTTTTCACTTTATAAAGTCAAAGGACTTAGACTCCCTCTTTGTTTTCTAAGTTAATACACTACTTGGAATACAAATGAAAGTGCAGATTGCAGTTGATTGATTCTGCCTGAAAGCACTAAATTTAAGAGTCTTCTAAGTGTAAAGGTTTATATCTTTTATTTGTTTACCTGGTCTCAAAAGATAATTGCAGTAAGTGATATCTTAGACCAATATTAGGTCTCAAAAGATAACGGCAGTAAGGAGTATCTTTGATGAATTTTAATGAAAAGAAAGTTCTCAAGTATGCATATGTGAGCTAATGTGTAACACTCTAATCCATTTAGCCATGTAGAGATGGTAGGTTAAGGTCAAAGAAGTAGCTTCAAATTAAGATTTAAGCAAACAATTACTGAGCAACTCAAGTAATAACAAGAGTAAAAAATGAGAAATTTTTGGCATGTGATTGCTTACCATGGTGATGGGGTAATGAGGCGTGTTGTGAGTGTTCAGATAACCATTTGTGATTTTCCTTCTATCCTCCTGCACCTTAGGAGTATGTGAACGTATTGGGTAAATCCCTGCTACTTTTTAAGTAGAGTAAATGTAAATATCCTGAGCCATGCTACATCTATGAATAATTTTAGTCACAAGTGATTTTGCCTCAGGTGTATAGATGCATTGTCTAAATAAATTCATCCATTTCTGTCACCTTGGAAGAGAAGTCCATGTACAAAATGCCACTGCTTGTAAATTATAAAAAGCCAGAAAGAAATCAATTGTAATTCCAATGGCTATTGTTTAAATAGAAAATTTGTGCCACAAATTTAAAATTCTAGAATCAACCTCACATAGATCTCTTGTCACATGTAACTTTGAAGTCTTGTCAGCACAGCTACCTAATTTATATGAAGCACCCTGGAGTCCGTGTCTCTTTGTAGTGTTATTTGTCAAATGATTCAAGCGCAGCTTCAAAGTGGATGTGAGTTTCTAATCAATCCCTGGGCCTTTAAATGGTATGCAATGTGACGCACAATTTTTTCCTCTAAGTTTGTGAAATTCTAAATTATATTTGCCCTTGCTGTCTTTTTTTTTTTCTTTATTTTAAAAGTATTGCAGGAAGGTAAAAAGCTCCTGCACAGTAAATATTCGATATCCTGCTAAGGGAGAAAGGACCTAGCAGGAATTTGAGAGGGTGTGTGTATGCTTGTGTCTATGCATGTCTGTGGGTAAATGGGCTCTTCTGTGAGAAACAAAATACACTGGATCCTGGGGGAGTTTTAATCCAATTAAAATACTGCCAACTTAACATTTCTTTGTTAATAACCTGGAGCCTCTTGTCCATACACACCAGGCTAGAAATAGGGGTTGCTTGTTACAGACACTCTCATTCCCTCATCTCAAGTGTTACACTTCAAACCCTCACAAAAATTTTTGGCTGGATTCTGCCGTCATTATTAAAATTACATTATATTATTATTTAGGATCTTTATATTATATTATATTATAATTTATAATTATTTGATTGTAATATAATCAAAATTATATTATTATTTTGGGTCTTCTGGAAGCATATGGTACTGACTCCTACTCTAAAACTGATTGATTTTCTGAGATAAAGGACAAAGATCAAAAGTAGTATGAAGGATAAATTCAAAGCTATGTATATATGTTTGAGACAGAAAGAAATGGAAAAAGAGAACCAGAATGAAACATATGTACCTATCCACCTGCACATCAAGATATACATACATGCATATACATACACCATGCATATGTCCCATGCACACATTCACATGTACATCGGGGGGCGAGGAGAGACTAAGTTAGCAGAGATGACTGCCTGAAGGCAGTTAACTGAAAAGAAGAACTCAGATTTTTCAGGGAACACTTTAATAATTCCCATTAACAAACTAAGGATGGCAGCCAGGCTACCAAGAAAAAGAGGAAAATAAAGATGAGTATCCATGTACCTCAAAGAAAAATTTAAAAACTACTAACTGAATCTAATGTTGTAAAGACAGCATTTTACTGCAACTGTTATGAGACAAGTCAACATTAGATCAGAGGAAGTTAAAATTCCATGAGTTCATAAAAACTGTCAAGAGCTCTATAACTTCCTGTCACTTATGAAAGCAAAGTACTCAATGGGAATATCCAAATATGGATGAAATAATTTTTAGATAAGATATCTTAAAAGCTATCTTGGGATTAAAGCTGGTAATGAGTAGACACTACCAAAGTAAAAGATTGTTAAATATTGAAATCACGTCTGCTTAATCACTCTGAATGTATTTCTACCTGGGTTCCCTGCTTTCCCACCAACCAGCAAATCAAATGTTAGCACCAAGGGCCCTAAAGTCAATGTCCATTTCTATTTGTCTGTGCTCCATGCCAACCAAAGCCCTCACGTGTTTTGTTTTGTCCCCTGACCCCCAGACTCAGGGCTTAGAAAGGTCAATTTTTGCCCCCCTGTGGGGCTTCCTTTCCTGACCTTTCCAAGGAAACTGAGGAAACAAAAAGAGAGGAGGCAGTTGGGCAGTCATGGGGGACACTCCAAACACCAACCCAATGGTGCAGGCTCCAGCTAATCCGCAGAATATCCCATAAGAGAAAGGAAGCTGTGGGAGTCAGTAGGGACGGTGCTAGTGGGTTGTTACCTGGGCCAAAGAGGCCCAGTGAGGATCCCCATTGAACTATCTTTGTCGAGGGGCAGTTGCCTCTTGATTTCCACTCAGGTCATGATCTCAGGGTCATGAGATCAAGTCCTGCGTTGGGCTCTGTACTGGGTGTGAAGCTTGATAATATGCTCTCTCTGCCCCTGTCCCCCATACCTCCCACCTTCTCACTCTCTCTCTCTCTCTGAAAAAAAAAAAAAAAAAAAAAAATTAACTTTGTTGAATTTCAGTATCATTTGGCAGTACAACTTTCTTGAAATACACATAAGTCCTCAAGTCTGGAACATTAACAATATTAATATTATCTTTATTAATAAATACGAAGAGCTGACTATGACAATGTCTTCATTATGTGCTGAAAATATTCTAAACACACACATGTACACATAGGTGTGCACACATACACTGGTATAACTTGAATACTAAAGTTATCATCAGCATCTCAATCATTTAGATGAAGGAAAATTGGAGGCATATGGTTTACTTAAATATTGAATGGTAGAGGCAGGATTCAACCCCAACAGCCTGAGACTAGAGGCCAATTTCTATATAAACTGTTCTCACATGGCCCACGGGATTCAGTAGGACTTAAATAGATAGGATAGATATACCATGAGCTGCTCCTAAACTCAAATTTGGGAAACACTAGGTCAAGCTTATTTCACTTTTTTTTTTTTTTTTTAATGTAGGCCTCTTTGGGTATTTTTAAAATGTTATTGAAATTACATGTATTATGATTGCAAATCAAGTAATTCAAAGAGATTGTGCTTAAAACAGTCTTCATAAAATCTTTCCCCGCTCTCAGCCTTGCTTTTAACTTCGATTTCTGCTTTTGTTTTTGCTTCTTAATTTCAGTTGGTGATTGACTTTTTAACAGCTCTAATATTAGAATAATGACTTTAACAACTTCTAAATATGTGGATGGCACCATTCCTTTTTAAATTTATTTATATTTTTATTTTTTAAAGATTTTATTTATTTATTTGAGAGAGAGAGAAGGAAAGAGAGCATGAGCACTAGCATGGGGGAGGAGAAGAGGGAGAGGGAGAAGCAGACTCCTTACTGAGCAGGGAGCCCAATGTGGGGGGCCACTTCCAGGACCCCAGGATCATACCTGAGCCAAAGGCAGATGCTTAACTGACTGAACCACCCTGGCGCCCCAGGATAGCACTATATCTTGATATATACACTTTTGAGAATAATTATAAGCCAAAGAAGATAATTTTATTTACTTGTAACTTTCCCCCTACTTCATTCTCTAGTTGATACTTACATTTTAGTTCTTCTTTTGCATATATTGCATATATTCTACTTTTAAATGATACCTCTGACTTGTAATTGTCTATCACCTTGAGTTAGCACTTCTCACGGTCTGCTCCCCACTTTTTCTTCCGTTCTGCGGACCCACTTTCCTCCGCCTATCCTTCCCCCAGCCAGGACATACAGCTTTACTTTTATATCATGAAGGCAGTGATTATATTGTTTCACAGTGTTTACATTGTCTTCTGCCACCACAACCAGTTGTCTTCTATTTGAAGACTCCTGGGAAATCCAATGGTGTGAGATCATGTTGTTACGTGAACTCAACTTTCGGCATGGGGATCATACATCTTATAATGTAGTTCTTGTTCAGTTCCACATTCTTTCAAGAAGTAAACAATGTTCCAAAATCTCAAACTACAGTACCTGTGACTTTCAGCTTTTCAGCCCCAATGGTAATCTCATCTTCATCTGCAGAGAACAGCACCCTGCCATCTTCACTCGCTCTCACTTCAAATCTTTTACACTGAGCTTCCACAGCATCAGCTCCTATGGTCAGAGGAAAGGTTTAAAAATGAAACTGGTAAGCAGGAAACCATCAACATATTTTTTTTCTAAAAAATAAAAAAAATTTTAAAAATAAATATTTTAGAAAAAGGGAGGAACACAGGTATTATTTAGTTATTTTATCTCTGTAGTATGTTTTACACCCGAGTTAATATTTTTAAATTGTTATCCTTTCCAGTAGGCTAAGTTGGTACAGTTTGCTGGGCTAGGATAGTTGGGCATACATCTGACCTCTAAACGCTTGACGTTGTCCTAACAAGGTTTTTATGTTTAGCTAATTAAAAAGAAAAGCTTTTGCATATACACAAGGAGAAATGATGTCTGCTTTGTTCTTGGTTATTGCCTGAAAACTTGGCTTTATACCTAGTACGTGCTAAATGCTCAATAAATACTTGTAGACAGAATGACTCCCATGTTCTTTCTGTAAGCAGACAATAGTCCCCATGATTGCTACATCACAAAGTACTTGTGAAGCATTACTCAGCTGTGAACCTTCAGCTACTCTACATTTCATATATGCTAACACTATAATTTGTTCACCCCTGATTATCACTGAATGTGAATGCATTTTACAGTCGATCTTGCAAAAAAAAATTGTTTTTAGACCTCTCCGATGTATCTCTTCATCAATAACTTTCTTGATTTATTAAAATACAGTATTAAATATAGTTATACCATGTAATTGGATATCTGTTTCTGATTTTATTGGACAATTTTGTATATTAATCCATCTACAAATCACAAAGGCAGTTCCATATTTGGAAAACATGATTAATTTGTGAGTTTGAAGGGCTTTGACAAGAAGATCAAACTGGTCAGAGGGTGAGGAATTGCTATTTCCATAATAGCAATTTATTTCATTTGGCATAACACATTTGGCATATGCTACGTCTTCTCCTCCTACTGAGATCTGGAGAATGTCTCCTCTGCTATCTACATCAAAAACTCTTATTAGATATAGTCCAGACCAGTCAGGGACCTAGACACATCCCACTTGTGAATACCTCTTTTCATTTACTTTACATATGCTATGAGCTGAATGTTTGTGTCTGCCAAAAACTCCTATGTTGAAATCCAAGCCCACGTGTGATGGTATTAGGAAAGCTGGTCTTTGGGAGGTGATTAGGTCCTGAGGGTGGAGCCTCATGAATGGAATTAGTGACCCTGTAAGTCTGTCTTTTCTCTCTCTGCAATCTGCCAAGTCAGGACCCAGTGAGAAGCCAGGTACCTACAGGTGGGGAAGCAGCCTCTCGCCAGACGCTGGGTATGTTAGTGCCTTGCTGTTGGAATTTCCAGTATATAAAGCTGTGAGAAATCAATTTCTGTTGTTTAACCCCACCCCTCACCCACCCAGTCTATGGCATTTTGTTATAGCAGCCCAAACACACTGAGACAATGTACCATCATTATTTTTTAAATATATGACCCCTAGGAATTCAAAACATAAGATCATCCTTGTACCCCAAAATTTCCTCCAAATTTAAAATTGAGTCTGATTTCTAGGGGTACTTAGGGTAAGAAGTTAGATAGGTGAAGGAATACCAGACGTAAGCTTCCTGTCCCTTTCCGTGGCTCTCAACCCCACCTCAGCCCTGCTCCCAGTTCTAGCCTATGGCCTTATGTATCTTACACCCCCACACCATCATAGCTTCTGCGGGGCACTTAACAAGAGAAAAGTATTAATTCCAAACTCTGATAATATGTGGGATAATTTCTCTGAAAACAAGATGTATATTTTTCTTACAAGAAACTACATGTTTTCAGGTTCATATAGAAAATTTTATAACTATGACAATGAATAGTCAGATAAAACTGATGTTCACCTTGCAGGCTGTCAAGATCAAAATAGTATGAATTATACTTTAACGTCTGTTATATTTTTTTAAGCAAAGCACTTTTCTTATGAAATCTAATGACAATATTGGAGAAACCATGGAAGACCTACTGTTCTTGGTGACAGTTATTGCCTTTGATCTGGCAAACATGATTTCAGCAGACGTATTCACTTGAGTGTGTCATCTGCTAATCATGATCTTACCTTCCTGTATTGTGCTTTTAATCTTTAAACCAGAGTAACCCAACTGGGTAATGTTCAAAAAACTGTGCTTGGGGCCAGTGTGTTGATAAATGTGGCTTCTAAGTTTGGAGGCTTCTACGTCTCAATCTTCAAGGCACTCAGACATACACTAAATCTGAACTCCCTAAAAGATATTCTAGATACTATTCATATAAAACCTTAACTTGTACAGCATGTGGCTATCTTCAAATATACTTACTTATTGGGTAAATTGATCCACAAAATATATCAGTGACTTTAATGACACTGAAGTGCATTAGATCACTATATGTATATAATAGTTATAATATATACACACACATGCTATGTATGGTCACAAATTTATAAAACTTCTTGGCATAACATTTAATCTCATCATATCAAAGATACTTTATTAACATAAACATGTTATGCTGTGTGTCACATAAACAAGTAGAAATATAAGCAGAGTACCTGGATATGGCAAAGTTAGTTGAAATCTTAATTTACTAAATTTAAATAAACAAAAGCTAATAAACAAGTAAAATATATGCACACCTGGAATAGGAAAAATGCATCTAGGCCATAAATAAATGCATGCAGAAACATTCAATTAAAAATAGATATATAAATTAATACTGCAGATTATACTTTATCCAACGTATTAGTAAAATTTCAGAAGGCAAAACTGTAAGGAATTAACAATATGTTGGCTGTAAATATTTTAAATCAGAAAATAATTTTGAGTATGTTGTACTTCTGTACATTGCTTTTCTGCAAATAGCAAGCAGTAAATGCACATAATTAGACATATATTGCATTGTGAATATTTATGTTTGAAGTTATTGCGTTAAGCTACATGAAATTGAATTTATTATGTCATAACATATTTCATGTTGTCTTATTCTATTTTTCATGTTCCTAGCTTCACATATTTGCTAGGTGAGGTCAACTCAGGATTCAGTTGATCAGAGGGGCAATAACTCAGTTCCATTTTTTCTCAACCAGCAATGCTTCCAGAGTTGCAGGAAAGCAATATGCCTGATGACTCTGCGTAAGGAGTTCTGATTCCTTTGCAAATAGATCCTGGAGATAGGGCTATCTGGACTGTTCTGTATTTTACTAGTCATCTTATATTTTTAAGATTTTTTAAAAAGATTTTATTTATTTGAGAGAGAGAGAAAGAGAGAGAGTACAAACAGAGGGAGGAGTAGAAGGAGAGGGAGAAATAGGCTCCCCATTGACCCTGAAGACACAGGGCTCCATCACAGGACCCTGAGATCATGACCTGAGCCAAAGGCAGACGCTTAACCAACTAAGCCACCCAGGCACCCCTTCACAAGTCATCTTAAACACTAACTTGCTAAAATCTCAAGACTAAATGCTTCCTTAAGATCATCTGAGGAAGTTTATGTTAACAACTTCAAAATCAAACAAAGAGCAGTTAGGGATAAAATAAGTAAAGAGAATTGGCAGGAAAAAGAGAGAAAATGTAAGCCAAAACACAGTTTCCACAAAAGGGTTGAAGTATTCAATATATATCCAAATATTTTCTCTAGTTTGCTTAATGTTCTGTATATATTTCTTAAAAGCAAACAAACAAAGTAACAACAAAGCTAATTTCTTTTCTCCTCCGAGATGGTTCCATTGCCTTTTTGGAACATGCACATTTCTTAGAGTCATATTCAGTAGCCAAAGGCACATCTGCTGACAAACAGAGAGGCTCCAGTAATTTATCTGTCTTTGCATTTTCTACATTAAATCAGTCAAACACATGAATTGGAAAATTTTCTCCAATAAAAATCTCTACAGGGGCTCAAACAATATATTTCCATGGGGCCTCTTGGTACTATTTAGTCCTAATTTAAAGAAAACAAGGCAAAGATCAAAATGGATATGTCTAATTATCTCTGGTGTGTTTTCCTCAAGCATATCATGATGGATCTTTCTTCCTATATAACTCTGATTTTACATGTTGTCAATATTTTCAAGGTCTTGAAGAAGAGTATTATTAAAAGATTAGAAATTCCCACAAGAAAAACAAAAACAAGAATCAACAGAGTCAACTAAATACAGAGTTCTGTAATTCCTGTTTTAGAATTATCATGGGCCCCCAACAAACAAAAACAAAGAAGCTGAAACAAAGTAAAAGAAGCTACTTACATAAAATATAAATATAAATAAGCATTGTACTTTATTTTACACTACGTATGTCATTAAAAACTCTCATGTCGAATGTTTTCTCTGAGTGTATTTAGGGAGAGAAGAAGGAGCAGAATGAGGGAAAGGTTACAGGGGACAGGCTGGGGGTGCTTATCTTGGAAAAAGAGCTCCTGAGCCTTTGGCAGTTGCAATCTACACTGGATCCGGTCAGAGATTAGCAGCACACCCTGTCCCCACAACTTACCCCTCCAACCACAGGAACTGATTTGTGTTTTGGAAGTGGAGGAGTAGCCATTTTTTCTCCAGCAAATAAGGTAGCTCTAGGAACCCTGAGATTACATTCCCTACCTGGGCCTTCCTACCATCCTGTGTCTAGACCACTACCTTGTACACAGTAATTCCTCAATAAAAGTTCATTTTTACAAAACAAATGAGTAAAGGGGAGGGGAAAAAAAAAAAAAAGAGGGAGAGAGGCAAACCAAGAAACAGACTTTTAACTCCAGAGAACAAACTGATGGTTTCCAGAGGGGATGGAGGATGGGTGAAACAAGTAACGGGGATGAAGGAGGGCACTTGTGATGAGCACCAGGTGTTGTGTGAAGTGTTGAATCAGTATATTGTACACCCGAAACTACTATTACACTGAATGTTAATGACCTGGAATTTCCACCATTTGTACTTTTATGCCTTCTTTATCACTCCCTCACCCATCTATACCATAGCTATCATCACATACTACTGCTTTCCATCTTCTTTCTAAAAAAGATATGAAAATCTTATACAC